CCTCTCCCCAATAATATTCATCCGAGCCTTAGACTATCTTTCCAAATGGCTTGACACACCTTGCCACGGGAAGAGCTACAATATGTACTATCATAAATCTAAGTTGGACATTAGTCACTTGATCTATGCTGATGATATCATCATTTTCTCTAGAATCAACATGGCTACTACCAAGAATTTGCATACATGCTTACAGGAGTTTCAACATACAACAGGACTCATGGTAAACAAAGACAAATGCCAAGTGCTCTTTAAAAAAAATGTTTCCTCCTCTTGTAGGCATTGCGTTATCGATTTAACTGGTTTCACTCCTATGCTTTCCCCTTTTAAATATCCGGGGGTGCAATTAAGTAGGGGAAGAACCAAATTAACCCACTTTGATGAAATTGTTGACAAAACTCATTCCACTTTACAATGTTGGACTAATTCCTTCCTTTCCAGCATAATAAATTTATTGAAGAGCATTCTCACCACCTTCCCTATGTATATTCTACAAGTGGCAGTGATAAAGAAAAGCACTAAGCTGCAGTTGGAGACAACCTTCAATAGATTTCTCTGGACTGGTCAGAGAAAGCAGATCATTTGAGCTAGTTGGCAGAAAGTGGCTAGACCTTTTTTAGCAAGAGGGCTGGGTTTTAAGGGGCTTGAGCAGCTACAAGAAATCAACATGTGTAGACTGTGGATTAAATTCAGACAACAAGACACTCTGGGCAAAATTCATGTTTGCTAAATATTGCAGATTTGACCATTCTAATTTGGTTTCCAGAAGGCTGGGAGATTTCAGAGCTTGGAGCAACATACTGAAGGTGAGGGAAACTGCTGAACATATTTATATATGGGAGTTAGGTCATGGAAATATCATTTTTTTGCTTGGCAGATGGTGCCCAGATGATTTTTTTGGATCCTTTGCTTAGTATTCCTAACATGAATCTTATGGTGAAAGACTATTGGGTGGGGAACTCTTGGTCAAAAGACTTTCTCCATACCTTACTGACTGACATCTCAGTAAAAAAGGTAACCAATATTCAATTTGACAGAAATAAAAAAGAAAAATTGGTTCTAATCTCCTGCTCCAATCAAAGTCTGACCAAATCCATCTATGATCAGTTATACCATTAGGCTAAGGTGCCATGGGGAGAGTGCTTGTGGAACAAATTTGTAACCCCTTCTACGTCTTTCTTTTCTTGGAGAGTGCTCAATGCTTTACTTCCAAAAGATGATATACTGAAACTTAAGGGGTTGAGAGGCCCTTCTATGTGTCATTTATGTAGAAAGGATATGGAGTCAGCCCATCACTTATTCTTTACCTGTGAGTTCTCTAGGAAAGTGTGGAAGGCCTTGCAATCACACTTTCAAATTAACACCATCAACTTGGGGTGGGCTAGCCTGAGTGATTGTTGGGGTGGCTGGAAAGGATTGAAGTTGGGTCCCATCCCCTTTATCATTGCGTGGTTTCTTTGGGCTGCAAGAAATCAGCCAAAACATGAGGACATTGCTGCTGCTACTGGAAAGGTAGTGGCAAACTGTTTGGCTTACATTAGAAAATTGATTAAATGGAAAAGCTTCCCAAACATCCTAAATATTTGTAAAACAGCTGAACAGAAAAGTTTTAAAGTCATAAAGGTAGTGTAGAAAAAACCTATGTTTCCTTTCATCAAAATCAACACTGCTGGAAGCTTCTCTTTAAAGAAAGCTGGTATAAGAGGAGTCTTCAGGGATCATAAAGGAAATTGCTTTCTTTATTTTCAATCACCAATTATGGCAGAAGATGCTATGGAAGCTGAAATAATTGCTTTATTTTGGGCTCTTAAGTGGCTACACTGAACAAGTGGACTGTCTTACAATTTGAATTGGACTTTTCTCAGCTTGTGGATTACATGACAGGCAAATAAACTCTTCCTTGGCACATACAATAGTGGATCACCCAGATACAACAGTTACTCATGGAGACAAGGGTTTATTTCTCTTTTATTTACAGGGAAGGAAACAGACTAGCAAATTTCTTAGCTATCAATGGAGCTGAATCTAAAATGGTCACTGTTTCCACCTATCGTTCTTTTCCCTTATTTTTTGCTTCAGGGGGACAACTTCAATGCCCCCCCCCAGATACAACAGTTACTCATGGAGACAAGGGTTTATTTCTCTTTTATTTACAGGGAAGGAAACAGACTAGCAAATTTCTTAGCTATCAATGGAGCTGAATCTAAAATGGTCACTGTTTCCACCTATCGTTCTTTTCCCTTATTTTTTGCTTCAGGGGGACAACTTCAATGCCCCCCACCTTAGACTTGTAACCTCTTTTTGAGATTTAATAGAACTCTACTTTCTCTCTCTCTCTCTCTCTATATATATATATATATATATATATTTATATATACATACATACATACATACATACATATATGTATAGAAGACCTGTAAACTATGAAGTTGGCAAAATCAAATATATTTGAGATCATAAGACACATATTATAAAACATCTATAATTTATGTGTTAGATTGAAAGACCATTGGAGAACATTATTATATCTCAATAAACATATAATCAAATAAATAACTATCTAGATTTAAACTTAAATTGAAGCAAAAAATGGTCATATCATATATGAAGAGAGATTTCTATATTGATTAACTCTTATAAGAGAGTCCACTAAAGTATATTTTTAGATGTCACTATCATATTTGATTATGATGAGTAAAGAAAAAGGATATTTAGTTGAACAATCATTAGATTTGAAGTATATTTACTTTTTTTTTTAAATGCTTGTATTTAATGCTTTAAAAGTACATGTCATCTAATGTTAAGTAAAATGTAATATTCTTAGATATATAATATGAAAGTGCTTTATTCATGGCAACGAAGCAAGGTGTTAACACTCAAATGCACTCAATAGCATTTGTAGTAATTAATTGAAAAGTGCTTTATAAATTTACTTCATGACTAAAGTGAGTGAGTCAATCGGCATGGTAGGAAACTTAGTTTTTATTTCTAATAAACATAATAATATCACTGATATTTTATCTATCTTTTTTTTTCTAAAAAATATAAGGTGAAGTTGTACCCATCATATCATGATGAATATTATGGTAAAGTTTAGAACTTATAGTTTTATGTTGAACATATTTTAACTTATTAAGTTTATAAAAAAAATTGTTTGGAACTCTAACAAAGTTTAGGTTAATAGCCTAGCCATAACTTCTTATTTAGATAATGAAGTTGGCTATGAATAATGGTTTTATACATTCTTCTATGGCAGTTAATATAACTTTATGAAAATAAATATTTTAGAGAGCTTCCATAATTTTATCAAGTGTATAGTTCTATCTTTTAGCTAGTTTAATATAGTTTTAAAGGCATACAATAAACAAAAAGTTCTTTGATGGATGCGACATATTAGCAAACGCAAACATTATGACAAATAAATTAAAAACTTTTTTTATTGAAGAAGCTTCTAAAAAGCTCAACATTTGAATGTCCATACCATTATTCAATTTGAACTATTGGCCTCTCCGGTCAACACACACTAACAACATTTTAGGATTTGTGTGTTAGGTATTATATCATATGTTCAAGTTTTATATATTAGAAATATGGATTACATATTGTAAAAATATATATTCAACAAAAAATTAGGATACTTAGAAATTTCGGATGAAGGGACAAAGAATTATGATACAATCCCCAAACAAAGAGTAGATATTTAAAGAAAATAAAAGCGCTTGAATGAGGAAAAAAAAATGTAGTGTAATGAGGAAAAAAATGTAGTATAACAGAGATAAAACCAATGCAGATCAAATATATCAATGTCGATAAAATATTATAATATAGTAACTTATAGGATAAATCACCCACATCTTTCATAATATTGGTTTCTTATGCTGTTCCAATATTATAATTATATTTGATGTAAAAATGAATAATAGTTATTGAATTGTTGAAGGAGTGCTTTAATTCAAGGCAATTCTTGAAGAAATATGAATAATTAATTAAACTCAACAGTGTAATGCGTATCAGCCGAGTATCAAAATTTGAATAAAGTTTGAGCTTGGTTCAAATAAGTTTTGAACCAACATAAATCTTTTTGAATCATGATCAAAATATGTTCAATCTAGATTTGAAATTTATTTGAACCAAATTCAAACATTGTTTGAATTTTTTCAAAGTCGTAGTCCAAGAATTATTTTAAACACAACTTTGAATTGCACTTAAATTATTTGAACTCTTGATTCAGAGGTGGTCCAACTTATTTCAATCACGAGCTTGAACTACCAAGTCAAAACTTTGTTCAAATTATAGTTCAAACACATTAATTTGGGCCAATTTCCCTCGTATCATACATCAAATAACAATCAAGTGTTAGAAGTAAGAGTGTTTTAGTGCTGTACAAAATTTTAGTATATTTAAAACAAAAAGAAACAAATAGAAAAGTATCATTGGCTAACTTCTATTATTATAAGACATTTAAAGTCAATTTTTCTTTTTCAAAATTATATGCAATGTTATTAATTTTTATTAAATATCTTTCAAATTTATTTTATTTTATTTCATTTTTACGTCCAATGTTTGAAGGTGTTTACATTCATACCACACAATTTTTATATATTTAAAATGTAACAACTAAACTTCCATATATACATGTGTAACTTATATCGACAACATCGCCAAAAGTATGACAATCATTGCAGTTTTATTTAACGAGACATTTTTCATATATAAATCTTTAACAAAAATAATTTATATATAAAAATATTTTAAGAACTAGATCTATAAATGCATATGAATTGTGTGTATATGTCAATGTCCGTGTGTGTGCGTGAAATCTCTCTCTCTCTCTCTCTCTCTCTCTTAACTAGGGGTATAACCGAAATTTTGATGGTGGAATGGGTTATAGTTGTATGCATGCTTATTGCTTGGGAACGTTTAAAGGAAAGTTTGACCTTCTCTGCGGACAGCCACGAAGTGGTGCGAGACGGTAGAAAATTTGCGAAGTCTAAGTAGTCCTCTTCCTTCGCTCTTGCTCTTCTCATCCCCCTTGCTTCTCTCCTATCTGCTCCGCGTTATTTCTCTACTGCCGGCCTCATGGCAGGTCGCTATGATCCAAATCCCTTCGACGAAGAGGAGGTTAACCCCTTTGCGGTGAGTACCACGCCCCTTGGTTTTTCTGATTTTTACTTTGTTCAACCCGAGGGTGTCAAATCTAAAATTTTTCGAGGAATTTGATCATCTATTGGATCTGTTTTTTTTATTTTTATTTTTTTTGCCTTTTTGATTGATTGATGCCAATTGGTTGGCTATTGTTTCCAGAGGAATTTAATCGGAGAACTTGCAATATATTTTAGGAAATTTTTTATTGGGATAATAGTCACTGGGTTGTTGGAGTTCACCTGGAGCAGTTTTGAATCCTAGAATAGTTTCTTGATAAGATGTTACTTCATATGTTATTTTTGTTCATTGGTTCCATGAAGTTTCAGGAATTCTTTTAAACTGGAGCTTCGATGTGAGAGTGATGGAGACTGTCTGTTGAGGGATTTGGAGTGAAAAGATACTGTAGATGACCAATTAATGAATCTAGATCAGCTTTGCTATAATTATAGAAGTTTATTAACTCCTTGGTGTTCCTAGTTTCTTTGCAATTATTTGTTTGCAGCCATGTGTAAAATAATTTCTTAGTTGGATTCTGCTTATGATTTTACTGGAGATTTATGATATTTGGATATGCTTTACTTTAGATCTAGTAAATTAGCTAGCTTTGGGATGTAGTAGTTTGAACAGTAGCTCGATTAATTTCTGTCGGGGATGGGAGGAAAATTTATTTTATTTTACAAGGAGAAGATAAGTTCAAAAGTGGCTTGTAAAGCAGATAGTGCTTGTCGCTCATGTGATTTCTTGGTGTAAAGATGCAAGCTATCCCATTTCTCTCTACCTTCTTTTTCCCAATCTTCATTTTCTTTCATTTAACTTTGGTTTGCATTCTGAAGTCTAAATTTGGAGCAACCTATTTAATGATGTACTTATCCAATCCTGTTTTAGCATATGATATTTTACAAGTTATTCAAGATTCTAATGCTTTTATACCATTTTTGATGTTCTAATTTGTCTATGCTTCCATTTGAAATTTGGCTACTTTGAATTTTCCGCTTATCTTTATTTAACATGAGAGAGTAAACAGGGATAAAGTAATTGCAATTTTCAATCTGGGTGGAACACCAACTTAATGGTTATAAAATGTGAATTTATTTATTTATGGCAACACAAGGGGCGGAGATAAGTTATTAGAAGTTTTATTTTCCTTCAATAAACTTCTTTGAAGGCATCAATCTATAATATTTACAGCACTCTAAAAAGGTTATTTCATAGTTCAAAATATTTACTTCAGTGAGAGGCTACATAACTAGGGCATGAAATCTAAGAAACTTTTTTAACTTCTCCTTATGTAGTATTTAAGGCCATTTTATTTGTTATCTTGAGTTGATACTAAACATTCCGAGAAGCATATTTTTGCAATAATTTAACGGTGCACAAAGTTGGGATTCATAGGAAAGTTTGAAACTCTTCATTTTAAGAAGATAAAAAACTAGGATCTTTGTACTTCTAGGTGGGTGCTTTTGTAATGATATGGAGTTAATGAATGCTTACCAATTTAATGTTGCCATGGAAATATGATCAATCATCATGCACTTAAATTGTGAATTTGAATCTCGCCATCTACATTGGGCATTATGACAAGTTGGAAGAGTTCCGGGCAATCCTTTCATATTTGATCCCAACTTGATATATTTGAGAGTTAGATGACTTTTCTTTTCAACATTGTTCTTCCATCAATAGGAGCGAAAATTAGTGTCTAGTGAAGAAATTAAGTGCTTCACCTATTTCCATATAGAAACTAGTTATTCTTTATGCATTTGATGTTTGCAAAGAAGTTTACTCATACGAAAAATAGTGTAGTAGAACAAATTTTATTCATTTGCATATATTGGGAAATTGATAGGGAAATAACTTCTAGAATTAAGGTTGGGTTTTTAAAGTTGAGAAGTGCTTTAAGAGAACTATGTGATAAGAGGATATCATTAGGACTTAAAAGGTAAAGCTTATAAAACTACAAATAGGTTAGTCATATTATATGGATCTAACTGGTGGAGACTATAAAAAGTCATTTAATAGTGTTAAAAATGAGAATAATAAATAGATTTTGCAAAGCTGGGAAGCATAAATTAAGTATTGAATATATTAGAACAAATTTTATACATTTGCATATATTGGGAAATTGATAGGGAAATAACTTCTAGAATTAAGGTTGGGTTTTTAAAGTTGAGAAGTGCTTTAAGAGAACTATGTGATAAGAGGATATCATTAGGACTTAAAAAGTAAAGCTTATAAAACTACAAATAGGTTAGTCATATTATATGGATCTAACTGGTGGAGACTATAAAAAGTCATTTAATAGTGTTAAAAATGAGAATAATAAATAGATTTTGCAAAGCTGGGAAGCATAAATTAAGTAGTGAATATATTAGAGGGATGGTTAGAGTGATATCTCTTGAAGATAGGTTGCTGAAAATTAATTTAGTTATGTTTTGGCAATTTGTTACAAATGATGGTCAATGCTCCAATTTGATGGAAGGAAAAAGTTTGAATTGAAGGATTAGAAAGGAAAATGAATAGACCTTAGTTAATATGGATAGAAGGTAATCAAAATGATTTATGAAGAACACGTTTAACACTTTAGGCAACAGTCAATAGTAAGGAATGAAAATGAGGATTGGTGAAGCCACCTCAAAATAGTTGGGATAAGGTTAATGATGATGCACCTATACCATGCAACAATAAATAAGATAGACACTTTTAGAATTATTCTATTCCTATTTCTTTGTTGCATCTGTCATTCTAAATTTATCTCCATTGTAAATAATAGCCATGGTTGAGTAAAAGTATGGCTTGCTTTCAGTTGAACATGTTATGTCACACTTGACCTGTTACTTTTCATTTTCCTCAAGTTTTACTTATATATGTTTCTTCATTTGTTTTTAATTTTTTCTAATACTCCAGAACACAAGTGCCGTTCCCCCTGCAGCTAATTCTAGGCTTTCACCTCTTCCTCATGAACCTGCTGGTTTTTTCAATGTTCGTGGTGCTACAGTTGATATTCCACTTGATTCCAATATGGTAAGTGATGATTCCAATTTTCCAACTAATAAATAACATCCTAAATGACAAATTTTCTTTTGTTTTCTGTTTATTTTGGAAAATTACTTTACTTGAGATTGTCACTAATGCATTTGAGATTTGACTACTTGGTGCTGGCAGTGATTTTCCTTCTTACAGTTTAGTGACTAATAGTTATATAATTATTCAATTCCTTATCTTCCCACTTCTTCAAACCCTCCTGCACTTGTGGCAAACAGACCCACAAGTACCTTGTTCCAAAACTAAAAGAGCTAAAAATGGAAAAAAAGGAAATAGGATGAAGAAACTGAAACGGTGGGCATATTTTGTGGATAAGAAGGGCATGTGGTGTTGAGAGGTGAATAAAACTTAGTTGTTCTTATATTTCTAATGTAGGATTCCAGAAAGAAGGAAAAAGAACTTCAAGCAAAGGAAGCTGAATTGAGGAGGAGGGAGCAGGTAATTTTCAGTTAGTTTTTATTTTCTTATGCTAATCATTTGGATTGTGCATTTTTTAATATGTCCTATGCAATTTTTAGACAAGTGTTTCTAGGTTTTCATTTCAGAATGATGTACAAATTTCACATTGCCTATTCCTGAGTTGCTGAAATATTTTTTTTCTATATATCTAACTTGAGTATGATAGATGGAACATGAAATGTATTGGGCTTGGGGAATAATGCTTGGTTGGATTTTTTTTAGCATAATGTCTCTCTGATTCTGAGAAGAATGTAGTTCAGTTTTTTTGCAAATGATATAGATGTGATGTCCTATTACACTGTTTTAAGTCGAACGATTGCAGTGGAAATATGGGCTAATCATCACAGATCAAGTGGGGAGTCATCCCTATCCGAAACTTTAATGCTTTTTGCATGTTCTTTGGTTAAACATGAATTTTTGACTTCGATCTATTCTCAAGTTTTTATACTATATGCGTGATGCTGCAATGAGTGATTGAGGTTATCTTATCTTACAAATTAAAGCACTCACGCCCCTAATGTTTATTTGCCTATTTGCAATTTATGTCTCATTTGGAATATCAAATTTGCTTCTTTTTGCCTAAGCAATTGATGCTTATAATTTTGGAACATAATTATTTAATAATAACAATTAACAAGCATTTTATTACTTTCTTAGCTCTTATCTCTCCATCTACTTTTTTAACCCCACATTTTATTTCATATGACCTGGTTTTTTTCATGTAATTCTAGTTTAGGACCACTTTATATGAATGGAATTGAGTCGAATTTTATTGAGTCATGATTGGCTATAATTCAAAATGTTCAAGTTAATATGATTTAAATTTGATTCAAAATTAAATGACCATTTTTTATTCGAAATTAGTTGTTTGAAAATCAAAATCAACTCGAAAACATTTTTGTAGGCTTGAAAGTGGATTATTTGCTAATCAAGCTCTATTTTAAACGGGCTTCCATCAGTTCTTGTTTTATCCAACCACTAAAAAAAATAACTATATTTCAATTTTCTCCAAGTTTTATTATTGAGCAAAGGTGTAAAAAACAATTTACTAAAATAATTGAAGCCAATATAAAATTTAGCAAGTTTGATTACATGGTTGCCCTTAGAAAAATGAAATTAAGAACTTAAAATTAAGTTTTTTGAAGCACAACCCAGCGGACTATAGATCCAAACTCTTAAACCTAATCTCAGCCCACTTAAATAAAATCTTGATCCAACAAGTTTAAAAAATAACATTAAACAATAATGCATGAATCCAATTAGCATTATTATTCAACAGATTAATACAACTTTAGATATATATTTATTGGCGATATATGTTTAATAATCACACTAAATATTATAGAAAATTGTAGATCAATCAATCTTGTAGTTCTCTATCAAAGAGATTTATCAAATTGATAATTTAAAAATTAAGATTATTCCATCTTTATTATGTAATTTATTCTCTTAAATGAGAAATTTCACACTTTTATTTTATTTCCATTCTGTCATTTGTATTTTTTTGCCTATACATAGGTTTCAATTGTACCGTGAAGTCAATTAAACTTAATTTTTATTCTTTTTTGTAAAGAACAAGAGCACCAACTATGAACTAGAAAAAAGTGTAAAAGCAAATCAACTTAAAAATGCTGGTTGCAAACACATCAGCGTTGGAATATTCCGTCGCTAAGGTTTGTGGCGTGGATTTTGTGGCCGCATTTGTCGGTCGTATGTAGTGACGGAGAACTATCGGATGCAATATTTAATGACTGATTTTGCGTCAGAACGTTTTCAGCAATTTGACATCAACATTTGCAGCACAATAATCCGTCATAGAGATGTTTGCGGTATAGTTTATCGGTAGCCAATTAACGTCAGAAGCGTAACTAGCAGGCGAATTGATAAATTTAACATTGCTATAGTGCAGGGGAGCGGGTAGCCGCGAACTCGTAGGCGAACCGGGCAACACTAAGAAGCTGTAACTTGGGATTTTAGGGCTCACGAGTAAATTCCGTAAGCACAAATCCTTTTCTCTTGCATTGTTTTTCGTATTTTTCTCATTCATGACAGCCAATAGAGGTGTCGAATGTGTGTTGGAAGTGTCTTAATCTTCTTGCAAGCTTCCAAAAGGGTTTTCGTAAGAGTTTAGCGAGTGGGAAGTTAAATTGGAGGTTAAAGGAAGAAGATTAGTGTGTTTCAAAAGAGCAATTTATGTCGAATAGTCCATTTGAGGTCTGTTTTGGCTGAGTAAATTATGTTTTGTGTTAAATCATGTTATGAACCCAAATTTTATGAATTCGTACGATGTCTACGTTCCTCAAGTTGGTGTATATGTGGCGGCGAGCTCGAGACCAGCGTATAGAAACTTGTTGTAGGGTTGCACCGTCAAATCATGTGAAATAATATTGTATTGATTTAAAAAATATAATATTCTATAGGTTTGCATATGATTTCTAGTTCGACATATAAGCATTTAGACTTCATGCATATTGTAGAGGATTATTTGCTTAAAATGTATGAATGGAAGTGAACGTCTTTTACTATAAGTATGATGTTATTCTTGTTGGCGCTAAAAGGGAAAGGGGGAAAGTTATCAATTGGTGGGTGATTTGTTCAAAAGTTGTCCGTAAGAAACTGTCGTTCGCTGGAAGTGAAGTCTCGTCACCCGCTTCGGAAGGACGTTTTAATTTACACATATATATATATATAATTTTAGAAAAATATGAAATCAAACTGACCTCATATTTTTCACAGTTTAAATGAAAGAGCGCTCTACCTCAAATCCTATATCTATTCTGAGGGATAAACACAAGACTTGAGGATGAGACTCAATCAAATAAACTAAAGTTCTCCTATTTAATCCAAAGAATTAAATAGGGTTTATTTTAGGCTGGGTTCGGAAAAGCTTCCTATAAGGGCAAGCCCCTATAGTTAATTACATTTTAAATGACCGAAGTCACCTAAGAAAACTCTCGATAAAAATCAGGGAATACTATCTTCAAAGAAGTTAAAATGATAGAACTTTTCAACGAAATCGGACGAAGAGGTGTGAAAGGGGAAATGCTCGAACCTGGAACAATGTTGATGAATCCAAATAAAGAGAAACTAAGGGAGACCACAGATCCAGAGGAGAATCTCAGTGACTTCCCAGTCTATCCTATGATTTGACTCCAGTTTTGAGAAGAAATTATTAAAGTATTTCATCCTGCCAATTTTATTTAATTATGGCTTATATTTATGTGACATGGCCACACAAATCGCCTGGAAGATATGAGTGTTTACGTCATATCGGACGACAAACTCAGAACCTAAAACGAGTTAGGGCTTAAATCGTACAGCAGAGCTATACGAATGCCTAAAGAAAATGTGGAGGATTTATGTTGCGCTAGGCAAACAACCTCGAAGTCATATGGATTATTGTTTAATTTCTAGGATAATGGATGGTTTTGCTGGGGAAGATATGTTCTGCTGTTGAAGATGGCCGTGCTGCCCGACGCGCTAGCTCCAAGCTCACCGACGTGACGAGTTTAAGTTTTCTAGGGTATCCAGTTATAGTGTTAAATCAAACGGCCCTATGGTTGTAGTCCTCTAAACATACTATATAAAAATGAAATATGTTTGAAGTTATAAAAAAAATAAAATAAAGTGTGCAATGCATGAACAAACAGTAGAATGCACGTGGAACAGTAACAGACAAAAACAGGAGCAGTACAACATGTTATACATGAAGAACAGTAAGAGTAATATGACATGCTATATAATACAGTAGCAGATGGAAAATATGAGTAATATGACATGCTATACAGTACAGTAGCAGGTGAAAAAAAAACATGAGTAATATGACATGTTATACAGTACAGTAGCAGGTAGAAGCAGAAATGACATAATCATGTTGTACAGGAAGAGCAGTAGCAGGTAGAAAACAGGAAAATAAAGTACTGAAAAATATAAAGCAAACCTGTACGCCCGTGAGATCCGATGTTCCTTAAGTATAGCAAGCCTAAATGCATCTCAAAAA